AGTCGCCTTACCGGGCTGACGAGGCTGCAGGTGGCGCCAGCAAACCTGGCGGACCATCACCTGCAGCTGCAGTTCCACAACGATTCCTTGCCGGATATCTCCAGGGTTTGCCAGCTGCCCACTCCCAACAGCAAGCGCACTTGTTACTGTGACTTTCAGCTTTATAACCCCAAGTACCCGTGCTTGGATGGCAGTGTGTGGCTGGTGGTGGGGGCACTGCAGGGCTTGCAGCAGCTTGGCGTGCATGGAGTGGCCAGCAGCAGCCAAGACCTGCAAGCCCTCACTGCTCTCACAGGCCTCACCTCTCTCCACATCACCGGCACCAACCTGAACGATTTCGCATGCTTCACGGGCTTTTCTCAATTGAGGGACCTGGGGCTGGCTGGGTGCAGCGTGGATGCGGCCTCATACTTGTGGACGTGGAGCCGCAGCTTGCCACACTTACAATCCTTGGACCTATCAGCCACGCGGGTCAGCTACAAGGGCGCGTCTTTTCTTTATTTACTTACGAGTTTGGAGCGCCTGAAGGTTCAGCAGTGTTGCAACCTGCGTGAGGCGTTCCTTCGGCATGTGAGCCTGATACCCCAGCTGAAGGAGCTGGATGTGGGCTTTAACAACGTGCAGCCAGGATGGCTGAGGCCGATACGGGATGAGAAGAAGGTGGCCCGGCTGTGTGTGCGCGGCTGTGGGTGGAGCGCTAAGCAGGTCTACAAGGTTCAACGGCCGTGGATTAAAGTAGAGAGGTGATGCCGCTGGGATGCACGGCATGTGCTGTGATGCATGGCACGTGCTGGGATGCATGGCATGTGCTGGGATGCATGGCATGTGCTGTGATGCATGGCACGTGCTGGGATGCATGGCATGTGCTGGGATGCATGGCATATGCTGGGATGCATGGCACGTGCTGGGATGCATAGCATGTGCTGGGATGCATGGCATGTGCTGGGATGCATGGCATGTGCTGTGATGCATGGCACGTGCTGGGATGCATGGCACGTGCTGGGATGCATGGCATGTGCTGGGATGCGTGGCATGTGCTGGGATGCATTGCATGTGCTGAGATGCATGGCGTGTGCATTGTCGTGATGCATAGCATGTGCATTGTAGTGATGCATGTTGATGTGGGTAACGCATTTGAAGATCTGTTGGGGTGAGATGCGTGGCATGTTGATCCATCTGAGTGCCTTCAACCTGCACCAGCTCACATTTCGACCATTTAATAGTTGCATCTACCTACCGCAGGCCCCCTTCTTCTCTGAACCCTTGTCCACCTTGCTTCTCCTCATTCCCACAGCTTCTAGTGTTGGAAGTGCTTATTCAAGCGACACTCCATCCTCCTATTTATGCTGTGCGATTCCCAACTTGCTGTGTCACAACAATGCAAGAGTAATTTCCTGATGTATCTTTTGAGGGTTGGTGTTACGAGTGTATTTGAATGAGCGAACAAAGATTGCAATATGGAAACAATGGAATCCAATGAACAAAGGCATGAGCAAATTGTCAAAAAGCTAAACAACATGGTAACGGTAACGAGTGCTCAAAGGGGTGCTGCTATAGGTTGTAGAATGAAAGAGTGCGCAGAATGCATTAACGCGGAAGTGATTACAACTAATGATTAATTAATGAAGTTTGGCACGGATTTAGCATAAGCTTGTTAGGCGGGGTCCGTGACGGTTGGGTTTTGGTTCTCAAACGCGAAGGCGACGTGAAGTACGTTTGGAAGGCGAGTTAGCGGACCAAGCCTAGTCTTTCGAGGGTCGGGGTTGTACATGTATGGAGTGACCCAGTAAGGAATTGAGAAAAAAATCCTTACACTCCTTCCCCCCTCCACACATACACCTCTTCTAAGAAAGGTTGTCAAGGCCCAAATTTAGTTTAGGCCCACCCACCTAGACAAATCAGGGTTGACCGTTAAGGTAAAAACTGTTCGTACCCTACTGGAAACAGCCTAAAGATTATCATACATACCATAGATTTTATAAGGGTAAACTTGTAGTTAGGCTGTTTGCACTACAATTTTTTTAACCCATTCATTTCACATGGCTGTTATTGCATCACAGCAAAGACCAGGCCCTCAGATTCGTTTTTGGCCTGTCTGACTCGTCAGACAAGTACATAGTTTTAGTCTGAAACTCTCAGAGTTGGTATAAAAAAAAGGGCTGAAATTTCAGAGTGTTTTACAGAAAAAGTCTAAACATTCGAAATCAATGTATTCAATTTTCATCAGAAATGTATTCAATGTTTCAATGCTTCATCTAATACTGAAACATGCTAGACTAAGGGGATTTTTGGGAGAACATGCTCTGACAGGGCGAAATTTTGTGTGAGGGCGAATCTTGTGGTGTGAAAGGGCGAATCTGCAATGTCAGGTGAACTGTTTTTGGTGATTGGACGAAATCATTGCGCTCTGTCGGCGTAAATCTGTAGTGTCAGGGCGATTTTGCTGTGATTGGGCGAAAATTTTGTGCTGCAAGGCGCGGATTTGCTATGTCAAGGCAAT